TCCTCCCTGGCTCCTTCCATCCTTTCTTTTTTTAGTTTCTTTATTTTTTGTTGCTTGTGTGACCAGCAATGTCGATTTCAAGACTCACAGGGGGCCTATGCTGATAGTTGTAAAGTGCTGGCCTAGAAGAGGGGCCGCTGAAAGGGAGACCTGGGTCTCCTGGGAAAATCCTAGAGGACATGCCAAAGAACTCAGACCCCTCACCCTCCTCCACTGCTCTACCTCGGCCCCCCTCATAATTACAAAGTCCTCCCCCTCTTCCTGCTCTTCCTCTTTCTCCTCCTCCTTTTCTTTTTCCTACTACTTCTCCTCCTCCTACTGCTCCTTCTCCCCCTCCTCTTCCTCTTCCTCCTTCTTCTTCTCCTTCGACAGTTTCACCAGTGTCTGAGAATAACAGGATTTATTTCACAGACTTTCCCAATCAGGAGAATCCTCTAGGCGATTGGTTGATGCTACTGATTCCCAGGCCCCTCCCGTGGAGATTCTGAGCAGTTAAGTTCAGACTTCAAGGAGGGCAGATGCCCCGTCTAGGGTCACACAGTGGCAGAGGTGTATCTAGGGAAAATAGTGCCTATTCCAAGCACTGAAATTGCATCCCTGCAGGGGCATAACGAGGGTAATGAGCATCCAGGGGCAATCTCTAAGTTTCACACACACCCTACCCCCTGCCCCGCCCCAGTTTCATGATGAGTAGACATTGATAGCGATGATACATTAGCAGAAACACAGTCTCATCTCTTGTCCGGCTGCCTCAGTCTGGCGCCTTTCATATTTGTGGTGCCTCGGAATGTCATTCCATGCCTCATCTGGCACCCCATTGGACTTGAGCACAAGGGCGAGTGCCCCCCTCTACCTCCCCCGCCCCCCACTATACCTCTGGGCCTACCGTGCTTGAGGAAGGACATTGGGCCATACCAGGTTAATAGAAACTGCTCATTGGTGCCACTTTTCAAGAGGCGCCCAGGACACGTGCCATACCTGCCATACTTTAGGTGCACCCCTGCCAGTGACACCCTGATGGCATAGTGGTTAAGAGCTATGGCTGCTAACCAAAAGGTCAGCAGTTTGAGTCCACCAGACGCTCCTTGGAAACCCTGTGGGGCAGTTCTACTCTGTCCTATAGGATGTCCATGAGTCAGAATTGATTCGACGGCAATGCGTTTGGTTTTTTTGGTTTTCTGCCAGTGGGTACCACCCTTGGGGCAGGATGTTGTGGTCAGATGCAGGACAGGGGCCCCCTCAGTGACTGCAGGCTCCAGGAACAGTACATCATTAGCACAGGCCTTAGCCTGGCCCCAAGCACACAGCAAGTGAGGAGGGATGCCTTTGAGCTGGAACCCAGGCCATCTTAGGATCCCACCTTCCTGTAATGGCTTGATTTCTTGTTGGAGGATTCAGCCCCATCTCCCGAGCCAGCTCATCCCTAAGACAAGGGGAAACAGAGAGAGCTACTGTCTACCAGCGCCCAGAGCCCTCTGCCTCTTTCCCTGGTCCTGAGCAAGGCCTGGGGTTTGTGGGGAGGAGGGGGAATGAGTCACCTCCGGCCACTCACTGTCACTTGGTCCAAGGGGAGGGGGCAACTTTGGAGGTTTGCACATAGAGGGAGCAACCACCTTCTTGCCCGCCTACCAGCACACCACTGTGCCCACTGAGGCCCAGCAGAGGTCCTGGCTGGCTTGGAGGGGCTCTCCGAGGCCCACCAGTGCAGGAGGAGCCTGGGAGCCTGTCTTGCTGCAGGTCGACTTCCAGGCCTTGTCCTCTCTCTCACTCTCTGTGCTGCTTCTCTGGTGGGTCCTGTGGTTTAGCATTTCCTTCCTTACCTAGTTACAGCCCCAGCAGCCTGCAGCCTGGCTGCTACAGATACTTGTAAGAAAAGACACTGCAGAGAGCAGGAGGTCTTTTCAGGACCCAAAGCAGCACTGTGAGCAGTCAGAGCCCAGCCAAGCTATGTGGGTGGGGGCGTCAATGTGAACCTCAGCCCATCTCTTTCAGTCATTGCTGAAATGTCAGATTTTCATCGAGGCCAACCTCGATCGTTCTATTTTAAATTGCAACCACACCCTACCTGTGTACTCCTCAGGCCAGCTTACTGGCCTCCCCAGCATTACATGTCTGTATGGAGTAAACCAACCAAACCAAGCCTGTTGAGTAGATTCTGATTCACAGTGACCTTATAGGACTGAACAGAAGTTCCTCATGGGGTTTCCAAGGCTGTAATCTTTAAGGAAGCAGACTGCCACATCTTTCTTCCCCAGAGCAGCTGGTGGGTTCCAACTACTGGCCTCTTGGTTAGCAGCTGTGTACTTAACTACTGTACTGCCCGTCCCATTGCTGTTGAGTGGATTCCGACTCATAGCGACCCTACAGGACGGAGTAGAACTGCCCCATAGAGTTTCCAAGGAGCAGCTGGTGGATTCAAACTGCCGACCTTTTGGTTAGCAGCTGAATCCTTGACCACAGTGCCACCAGGGCCCCTTATACATGCAGTACTCAGTTATAATTTTACTTCTTTCATGTTCACTGTTTATTGTCTGACTTTCCCCACTGGTGTGTAAACTCCTTGAGGGCAGGGATCTTTGTCTGTTTTGTTCATTGATGCTCCTGCAGAGTGCCTGGCATTTGTTGTTAGCTGTTGTAAACTCGGCCCCCAACTCATAGGGACCCCATGCACAATGGAACCAAACACTGTCTAGTCCCGCACCATCCCCATGATTGCTTGCAGATTGGACCATCGTGATTCATAGGGTTTTCACTGATTAATTTTTGAAAGTAGATCACCAGGCCTTTCTTCCTAGTCTGTCGTAGTCTGGAAGCTCTGCTGAAACTTATTCAGCATCATAGTGACATGTAAGCCTCCACCGACAGATAGGTGGTGGTTGTGCATGAGATGCATTGACTGGGACTCTGACCTGGGTCTCCCTCATGGAAGGTGGTACCACTGAACCCCCACTATCCCCGCTTGGCTCTTAGAATGCCCCTCATGAATACTGTTGAATAAACAGGTGGCAGGATGCAGCTCTTCTAACTACACTTATGCCCCCCACCCCCAGCAGCTCAGTAGGAGCCCTTTAATACTAGCCAGTCAGAAGAGGGAGGTGAGGGATTCTGCAACATCTTTTCAAAAAATCAGTTCAAAAGAAACAAAATGAAACATTTCACAAGCGTTCTGATGGTGTGTTGTGGGGGTGGTGGGGGACTACCCAGACTGAAATCCCAACAATGAAGTTATGACAGAGGATTAAACACCGTCCTCTCTCCTTCTCTGTCTTCTTAAGTCCTTAGCATGTTTGTCAAAACGCGTTTCATTTGTCATTCTCACTGGATGGGAGGGCTCCTAGCAGCAGTTCCCTGGGAGCCTGGGGGACGGAAGGGAGAAGTAGTGGTGCCAAGGACCACGTTTGCCAACTTAGCAATTTTGTTTTGACCAGATTTGTTACCCTGAGAGGATCACTTGAACAGAAGGAATGTAGATCTTAGGTTATTCTTGTAGATGGGCCAAGGACTCAACCAGGTCCCATCACAAGTAGGTTGCAGCATAAATGGAATTAATATGAGGCTGTGGCATGTTGAAAGTGAGCTGGCCTCCACATTAGGGAGCCTGGCTTCTGGGGTTGGTGTGTGCTGTGGGGACACGTAGCCTTCATCGTTAACTTGCTTTGTGACGTTGCAAAGTCCCTTGTCTGGGCCTCTGTTGCCTCATTTCTAAAATGAAGTTGGACTAGAAAAATCCCTAAGACTCCCCCAGCTGCCCCAGATCTCTAGGAAACACTGAGTGTGTTTACCAATGAGGGTCCCTTTGGTCTCAACAATGGGTGCTAAGGGAGGCCACAGTCTCGTGTCCTGCAGGTTGAAAGATCAGGATGGATGCTTGTTTTAGGTTTTGCTTGAGGTACAGTCCTGATATGGAAGCTCTCCTTGTCCTGGGGTTTTATATGTATGTAAAACCAGTTTCTATTGAGTTGACTCCACTCATGGCAACCCTGCGTGTATCAAAGTAGAACTGTGCTCCAAAGGGTTTGCAGTGACTGATTTTTCAGAAGTAGATAACCAGGCCTTTCTTTTGAGGTGCCTCTGGGTGGACTCAAACCTCCAACCTTTTGGTTAACAGCCAAGCACGTGAACCTTTGCAACACCCAGGGACTCTGTCTCTCTCTAAATGTCTGCATGTGTGTGCACACGTGTTTTTGTGTGCACGTGTGTGTGAATGTATGTGCCGACATGCATGCATGCGTGTGTGTGTGTGTGTGTGTGTGTGTATTCCACTACCTAAAGACAAGGGTATCTTCAAGCGCCTGGCCTAGGATGGCCTCAGGGGATGGTGGTTCAGAGACGTTCTACTCTGCAGACCCTACCTGTGTAGATATGCTTCTCCAAGCCTTTGGAAGAATCCATGTCACTGAGTAGGGAACATGGAGAGGGGAATGGAAGGAGATAACAGGTTTTTGACAAGAATTATGCAATGAGTAGCTGATTCCTTCTGGTCTAGGAGATGGTTTGAATATTCTGGAAGCAAGACACCACAACAAGAAGGCTAAGCCAGGAGTCAGGGGACCTCAGCCACAGGAATTACACAATGAAATACAGAGCATAATATCCATATCATAAGGCTACAGAACTTTGGAGAAGGAGGAAGCCATCAAGACTTCATGAAGTGCCTTAAAGGCGGAGCCAGACAGACACAGATCAGCACAGATCAGCAGGGGGGCTGGGATGAGCACAGTCTGGCAGGGGCAATCCTGTGACAAGTTCTGGGAGGAAGTGAGGGTCCGAGGGCCCATGGAGGTGAAGGAGGCTGGGCTGGCTGGAGGCCACAGGAGGAGAGGAGGAGGCTGACCAGGTTGGTCCAAGAGCTAAGTCAAATGTCCTGTGGTGTCCTGAGGTCACACAGATCAGGGAACTTCAGGGCTCAGAGCAAAGGTTGAGCAGAGGGAGGAGACAATGGTTTTGTCTCTTCATCTGTGGTGTCTTCTGTGAGCCCATCATATTCTTCTATCTTGTAGGATTCTCAGTAAGTTAAGTCAAGAAATCAACAAGAATGAAGAGAGGAGGAGCATCTTCACACGCAAGTGAGTGGGGCATGTTTCCATGTTGGCTGTAATGAAATGCAAAAGAGTTTTCAAACCCAAATCAAACAGAACTATTTTTGTCCTGAGTTTTGACCTGTAGTGGTCATCTCAGTCCTGGGGCCTTTAAGCTGGAGCCCAATGAGAGGGCAGGTCCCTCTCCTTGCCCTGCGTCCTGCCCCAGTTCCGGGACAGCAGGGGAACTTCCCCTGGAGCGTCAGGCAGTCACGAGCTCCCAATCACGCCACCAGTGTGGCTTGGATGGTTTCTGGAATTCTGGGCCACCTGGTCCCTCTTGCCCAGTAACAAGGACAAAGGTACTGGGCAGTAAGACATAGCCTCCTCTAGGGGGTCCTCTCATGGGGCTGGATGGAGGAAAGAGGGAAGACTCCTTTAAACAAATAGGCCACTAATGCAATACTGTTTACCTCCGCAGACCTCAAGTTCAGCGGTTTCCTGAAGAGACAGGTAAAGGTCTCAGGGTTGAGAGATGATTGCTATAGGAGGTGACAGGCACTTCAGTTCTTCTGTCTTCTGGTTTATGGGGCTACTGGGGAGTCTGGCAGGTGGCCTCACTCAATTGCCTGCCAGCTAGTTCTTATTCAGAAGAGGACTGGAGCTCAGAATGAGGACAGGAGAGATGTCACGCTGCAGGGCACCTGGCTTATGACTACTACTCAGCTGGGACCCTCTGCAGAGACCACTGAGGAATTCTGGGAGGTCTATTTGGGAGCATAGGAAGGACTCAGCCATTGATTCAGCTCCTGTGCTAAGCCAGTCCCCCTGCTTTGGAGTCTTTCAAGCCGTTTTTCCGCTGGTAAATAACACATAGTATCAAAAACGCAGATTATTCCTGGGCTCCACCCAGTCCTGCTGAATACAAAGTTCTAGAGATAGGGCTCCAAGTTTCTGCGGGTTTTAAAACATCTTAGGTGGTTTTTATGAATGTGAAAGGTTGAGAACCACAGCCCTCAGGTAGAAATTCTAGAGCTGATGTCGCGTTGTTAACCGCAGGTATGTTGAAGTTAGGATGAAAGCCTGGGATGGGGCCTCAGATGGAGGAGCAGCTTTGACTTTCCTTCTAGTGGCTTCTTTCGGTCCTGATGATAGCGTTGTCTCCTCCCACAGAAAGCCACGAAGAAGACGAGGGGGGCTGGTCATCCTTTGTGAGTATCGTGTGGGTTGCCCTTCCACCTTTGCAGCAGTTTCTAGAGTGGCTTTTTAATGAGGAACAAACAAATGCCCAAAGCAGCAAGGCCTCTAACAAGATCCCAGGACAGCTGCGCAGGGGTTGGAAAATTTTCCCTGTAAAATACCAGATAAAACCAAACCAAACCCATTGCTGTCAAGTCCATTCCAAATATCTTCAGCCTTGTGAGCCACGCTGTCTTTGCTCAACTGTGTAACTCTGCCTTTTTAGCACCAAAGACAGTGCAAATGAATTGTGTAGCTGTGTGCCGATCAACTTTCCTTTACAAAAGCAGATGGCGGGCTGGACTTGGCCCATAGGCTGTAGTTGGCTGACCCATCCATTACTTATCATACCATCCTAACACCATGGCCTTCCCCCACCCTATCTCCCAAAAGGGACTGTCCCTAGAAATCTACAGTAACATAGCTTTTCTCCTGGGCTTAAGTCACCATCACTGGTACCAAGCGACATCGATTTCAGAATGAACTAGTAGCCCTGAAAGGACCTCAGGGAAGGTGCAATCCAGCTGTTTTTGCAGTTGAGGGGTCACAGTGACCTCTATTTGACTCTGGCGGATGCTGTGCATCCTCTCCCCAGAAAGCCATGTATATGGTCACCACACATGACACTAGACTCAGGCTAAACCAGTTGTTGAGTTGATTCCAACTCATGGCGACGCCATGGTGTCAGAGTAGAATTATGTGCCATAGGGTTTTTCCATGGCTAATTTTCTGGAAGTAGATCGCCAGGCCTTTCTTTTGAGGCACAGCTGGGTGGACTTGAACCTCCAACCTTTCCATTAGCTGCCAAGTGTGTTAACTGTTTGTGCCACCCAGGGACTCTAGACTCGGGCTAGATCTCCATTCTGGGGCATAGTCCAATCTGTTCATGTTACAGATGAAGCAACTAAATTCCCTGGAGAACACAGCTTATGAAATACAGCCATACGGCTAGTTAGAAACAAGCCTAGGACCCAGGTGGCTGACCCTCAGTCGAGTGGTCTACTGGTAAGCAGCTGCCTCTTTTTCTGTTATAAAGCAGGCACAGAACGCCCCAGGTCTTACTGAGATTCGAGTAAAAGTGAGCATTTCCATTGCAAAAGTGTCAGCCAAGTCTGGGCTTTCTACATGAAAACAAAGGCATATGACAGGTTTATTGCATCGCCAGGATAAATAGACCAGAGTTCACCTCAAATTTCTACATTTTCACCCAGAAACTGCATCTTTGCACTGCTTGCTTGAGGCAAGGCTCCTCAGTCTTGCCATAAACCAAGGGTTTTCCATGAGCCGGGGGCCGTTAGGCTCTGGAGTTTCATTTTGTGCCCAGCACCGCACAGGGGCCTTTGAGGTGGGGAATGGAGATAAAGGACCTGATCCTGTGAACATTCTATAGTATGGACAACACATAATATGAAAGAATATGATTGGGAACAAAAAGTGCATTAAAATATAGGAGCCAACTGATTAGGAGAAAACCATTGTTCTAGAAGCAGAGAGGATAGGTCCAGAACTTAGAGAAAGGCATATGGGATAAGGCCTGGTCAGGAAAAATGGGACTGAGTTGGGCAGGTTGAGGGAGGGACAATGCCCTTCTAGGAGGGTATCAGCAGTGGCTGGATGTGGCTGCCTTTCTGTGACCTCCGTGCTGAGATGATTGTTCCAGTTTTGCTAGCACTCAGCTACTGGAAGGTTGGCTGTTTGAACGTACTCAGCAGCTCTGCGGGAAAAAGACACGGCGATCTGCTTCTGTAAAGGTCACAGCCAATAAAACCCTATGAAGCTGTTCTACTCTGTCGCACAGGGTCACTTTGAGTCAAAAACGACTCAAGGGCACACAACAACAACAATTTTTATATTATAGGAATACCAACAGGGCAGGACTAAGACTTTTATGGAGTTCAGGAAAAGCTCAACCCTCACTTCGCTTTTCTAGTTTTTTTTTTTTTTTTTTTTTTTTTTTAATATTCCTAAAAAAGTAAAAAATAAATACAGGAAGTTTTCAGTTTAAAAACTTAAAGACAGTCTTTTCTTAAGCCACCTCTGAAGGCTGTCAGGATTTCTAGGCTGTGCTACATACCTTTCTTTGCCAAGTTGCAACTTCCAGCTGCTTTCAACACTGCCCTCTACTGTTGAGAAGTGCCCTGGGCTCCTTTATTTGCCCACTTAGCTTTGGCATAAAAGTGATGAGCCACTCATCACTTGGAGGCTGATGGAGCCACCTCCACTTGGGAAGTCATTACTGAGACTGTCCACTTTCATAATCCGTTGCCATCAAGTCAATTACGACTGTAAAAATGGCGTGGGGGGGTGGCGCCTGACCTCCTCTAACTTCACCGGGGGAAGGAGAATCAAGATCAACAGCCCAAGGCTGATTCCTATGAGGCAGAGGTCAGACATACCTCCTCTCTCCAACCTTTTTACCAATTCTGACACCAGCTGTCCCTCCCACGGCACTCTTCTGTTTTGGGTTTAATAATTTCTTGCACTGGCCATACAGAACTCACAGTTATGGGATTTATTAGGGAAGTAACAGTTTACAATCCAGGATCAGGAATGACTCAGGATACAGTTCCTTGGTCAGGACAGCTTCTCGGCCGGGCCCAGAGGTAGGCCTCTCCCTGGCCCTTTCCTCGGCCCTGGGCCTTTTAGCCCTTCAGCCCCTCAGTCCCTCGGGCTTCTCGGGCCTCTTGGACCTCATGGGCCGGCCCAGCTTCTACCCTGCTCCGGCAAGTGTTAGAAAGCTGTTTAGTTCCAGCAATAAGTGCCCAGAGGCACCCTACTCCATCAGTAAGCCTCAGCCCACATGTGCTCAGCTCTCTCGCTCTGTGGGTATTGGAGTAGAATGGTGCTCCATAGAGTTTTCAATGGCTGAGTTTTCAAAAGTTGATCACCAGGCCTTTCTTCAGAGGTGCCTCTGGGTAAGCTTGAACCTCCAACCTTTCAGTTAGCAGCTACCGCGTTAACCGTTTGTACCTCCTGGAACTCCATCCACTTTCATAGATTGCTTCAAAGGCAGTCACTCAGCACCTAGGGCTTTCTTTCTCTGAGACCCAAGAAGTAAAACTAAACTAAAATAAAAAATTAGAAACAGCATCTTTTCCAAGAGAAGAGCTTCAACAACGGGGTGTCAGATTCCATGAATAATAACTGTCGTTTTTCAACTCTCAGAAAAAAAATAGCACCGCCTCTGACTATCTCCTCTCAGACAACTTAATATGCCTTCTAATTAGCAGGCTTTCATTGTCTGGTTTCCCCTGTTAGCATGACCTTCAAAGTTGCACTAGGTTATAATGAGAAGAACGTTTGGAGCACGGGCACACTAGGAACAGAGCTGACAATTAACCACTGTCTTCACAAATGCTGCAGGCATGTAGTCTGCTCTTCCCGATGCCTGGAGTGAAAAATGTGCTTACTCATGACAGAGCCGTTCCCCCACCCGCTATGCCAGCCAGGGTCCTCCTCCTGGTCTCTTCTGCTTTTCTCTGTTATGCAAAAAAAGGCATAGAGGAAAAAGCACTTGCCTCAGCTGCTAACCAAAAGGTTGGAAGTTTGAGTCTACCCAGAGGTGCGTCGGAAGAAAGGCCTGGTCATCTACTTCTGAAAAGTCAGCCATTAAAAACCCTAGGGAACACAGTTCTAGTCTGACACACATGAGGTCACCCTGAGTTGGAATCCACTTGACAGCAACTGTATTTTTTTGTTTGTTTGTTTGTTTTATTTTTTAATGGTTGGAAGACTCTGATGGAAATCTCAAGCCCATGACTTGCTGGTCCTGCGATACTGGGCTCCCTGACCTCAGCTTCCCTGTCTGTAAAATGAGAGTAGCCACTCTGGGGCTGCCTGCCCTCAAAGGTGTGCTGTTGGGAGGCTTCTCAGAGAGAGTAGATGCAGGCACGTGGAGTGCCATGGAGTCTCTATGAACGGCACTCACAAACTTCCTGTCACCGTGTGTCAATAGGAAGATGACTATGAAAGTCCCACTGAGGATCAGGATGGGGAGGATGATAATGACTACGAGTCCCCCAATGAGGAGGAAGAGGAACCCGTGGAGGACGATGCCGATTACGAGCCACCACCCTCCAACGATGAGGAAGCCTTGCAGAATTCCATCCTGCCTGCCAAGCCTTTCCCCAACTCCACGTACATCGGTAAGGGCCCACTTCCTGATTTCTGCCCTTGGCAGCCCAGAGCCAAGCTCCCCACTGCTGCAAGGGAGGCCGTTGCCTAGCATGTCCCCATGTAGCAGAAAGCTTTGCGCACTGATGCCAGCTCAGTTTCTTGCCAGCTGTGTGGCTTTGGGCAAATGACTTCACGTCTCTGGGCATCAGTTTCCTTATCTGTGAAATAGGGTTAATAACAGTATGGACCACATAGACTTGCTGTGAGGATTATTGATAAAGCAGATAATTCATTGCCTATGGTGGCCGTTATCAGCATTAAAATGCCACTTAAGGGTATTCAGCACTTATAACTCATTCTGTGGGTTACTTGGGTACTCAAAAGTATTTTCTGTTCCTCCCATCTTTTGGCCAATTCATAGCTGGGTGACACTACCGCCCACAGACTATTAGAACAGACATAAAGATATTGAAGTGAGGTTTGACTCTAACTTAAGAAAAAAAAAATGTAAACAGTATCCAAAGATTTTCATTGTCTATCTGTCCCTGTTGGCCCATTTCTCCCTCATTTATTCATTTATTCATTCAGCAAACGTTATTGAACTCCTCTATGGGGCAGGAGTCCCTGGATGGCTCAAACGATTAAGCAATCGGCTACTAATCGAACGGTTGACAATTCAAATCCACTCAGAGGCACCTCGGAAGAAAGGCCTGGTGATCTGCAGCTGAAAGGTCACAGCCCTGAAAACCCTATAGAGCACAGTTCTACTCTGAAGCACATGGGGTCGCCATGAGTCAGAACTGACTTGATGGCAACTGTATTTTTGGTAGTACCATAGGGCAGGCACTCTTCTAAGTACTGGAAAAGCTTGAGGAAGGAAGACACAGCTCTTACATTCTAGTAGTGGTGGTGACAGAGAATAAACACATACACACTTGCATAATATATCAGGTAGTGAACTGGAAAGTTGATGATTAATACCACAAAAAAATTAATACTGTTTGGCCCTTTATACTTATGTCATGCTTTTCAATTTTAAAGCACTTTCACAAACACTATCTCAATATCTCATTTTGTGTTTTTAAGCACCCTGTGAGATAAGGACAACAATTATCACGCCTATTTCACATATAGGGAAACTGAGGTCCAGAGAAGAAATAAGTAACTGAGTTGTTGAGTACCTTGTTTGTGCCAGTCATGAAGATACAGAGTGAACAAGCTGGTCCTCAGCCTCAGGAACTCGTGGTCTTGTGGATGAGGCAGCATCGAACAAATACATCTCAACAGTTTGTAATTAAACAGTGACATGTACTCCAGAGGACAAGTTTAGGAGCTGAGTTTGGAGGGTATGCCTGGTCTGCACTTGCTTCCCTGAGTATTTGCTTTTTAAGATGAAATTTAAAGAATAAGTAAGAGTTGGTTAAGTGAGGGTGAGTGTGGGAAGGGAAGAGTATTCTAAACAGGGAAACAGCTATGCAAAGGCCCTGAGGCTCGAAGGAGCCTGATATGTTGGAGGAGTTGAGAGACGGCCAATATGGATGGAGCAGTTGAGATTAGAACTCTGTGCTCTGTGGAAGAATGACTCCTCTGCATGGCCAGGGTTAGGGTGAGGCAGAGAGGTACCCAGGACACCAAATGTAAGGAGCCACTCGCCTCCTTGTCTCTCTTGCCTTGTAAGTCCTGTCCTGGCCTTTTCCCGACACAGGGGTAGGGAATTACTGGCCTGTTTACTTGGCCTAAGGTTACTTCTAAGGTGAGCAGAATAATGCGAGCTTCTGTTCAAGGCAAGTCCAGGCCCCATTTAAGAGTGTGTGATTTGGTGATGGGAGTTGGCACCTAGATTCCCTGCCCAGCTCCTCCTTTTAGGGGGAGAGATGACCAAAAGGAGGAGGTGCAAGGGGAAAGGACAGCCCAGGGGGTGTATGAGGGGAAGGAAGAGGACCTAGAGCAGGATACTGATAAGCAATGACAACGGCTTAACCCACGCAGGCAGCTGGATGTGCCCGTGTGTGTGCATGTGTACAGTCTCTGTCCCTGCACGTGTCTCTGTGTGTGCATGTGTATGTCTATATGTGCGTTTGTGTGCATGTATTCAGTCTCTGTGTCCATGCATGTGCCCATGTGTGTGCATGTGTAAGTCTATATGTGCGTTTGTGTGCATGTATATAGTCTGTGTGTCCACGTGTGCACCCGTGTGTTGCATGGGTATGTCTATATGTGCGTGTGTGTGCATCTCTGTGTGTATGTGTATATGTGTGTCTGTGGGCATGTGTGTGGGCATGCATGTGTGTGCATACGTATGCAGGTGTGTCTCTGTGTACATATGCATCTGTGTGCGCATGTGTGTCTGTGAGCACATGTGTGTCTTTTCTGCAAGCATGTGTGTGCATGTGTGCACATATATATCCGTGTGTGTGTGTATGTCTGTGCAGGAGGGGGTATGTGTATGCTTGCTTCTTTACAATTTTATCTGAAAATACTCCCTCCTGGTGCTGGTTTAGCTAATAGAAGGAGCCTTTTTTTTTTCACATTTTGATCAGCAAAAATTCTAATAAAGACTCGTTTACAAGAGGTGAGGTGAAAATGACTCCTGGGTATAAAGAGAGTAAATGGCTCAGGAACTAGGGTAGGCATGAGACCAAGGATTCCCCACTGCTTGTGAGACTAGGTTTGAGGCAAGTGCCTACCACAGCTGGGTCTTGTGTTGGCACTGGTGGAAGTCTGGGGGCAAGGGCCAGGTGCCCCTGGTGACCTGAGCCATGCAGAGCTGGGCACAGGATCTGTTACCCAACACTCTCCTTGGTTTAGCATTTCTCCTTTAATTTTAGTATGTTTGTATTTCCACAGACAGGCTCGCCTCTGGGAAGGGCCCCCAGCAGCCTCCTGTGCCCCCTCAGAGACCTATGGCTGCCCTCCCTCCCCCGCCAGCTGTCCACCCTCCCCCGCCAGCCAGCAGGAATCTCACGGTAGGCCTGCCTTCTTCTGGGGTATTCTGTGTTTACTCCTGTCATTTTCTCTGCCAGGCAGAGAAGAGAAGATACTAACAACTTTATCTAATTCTAATTCTGTAAGAAAATATTATATAGAGCCTGGGAAAATGCGTATACTCAGGTACAGTGGTTTTGGGGGTTGAATTATCGGTGATTTTTATTCATGTCATAATGCTTTTTTTAAAAAATCTTAAACAATCTAAACTACTTGTATAAATAACAAGCCCCCATTCTGGTATTTGTTGTGCTGTAATTTTACGCTATTGAAAATAAGTGAAAACTGTAAAATAAACTCTAAGAAAATCATATTAAACAGCTGGCCCCTACAGATATGGTGGGGCACAAAGCCTTCCTCTCTTCTGCAAAGACTTCCGCCACCTGCTGGCCAATGCTTGCAATGCCAAGCACAAACGCCTTCACACCACAAGGGTTGCAAGGCCATCTGCCCTGGGAGGAAAAAAAGAGTCAGTAAATCTGCTTTCCTCTTTCTTCAAGCATATGGTCCCAACCCTGTGGATTGAATTACATCCCAGAGAGATGCCGAGAAGCTCAGCCTAAGGAGTCAGTACCTGGGAAAGTGTTCTCTTTACAAGTGACTTGAACACTAAGCATTAAGCTATGGCTAATGTCAAAGTGTCAGGGCTAGAGGGAGGGGTGGGAAGTATTTTCCCCAAAATACAAAATGCAGATCACACCACAGTTGTGTTCTCCTACCTGAGAATAGATGGCTCCCTCCAGCTTTTGCAGTTCCATTGCACAGGGGACTGTTGGGGCTGAATTTATCTACCAATATGTTTTGCTATTGAAACCTGATCGAGTCTACCCAGAGGTGCCTTGGAAGAAAGGCCTGGCAATTTACTTCCAAAACAACAGTCATTGGAAACTCTTTAGCACAGCTGTACTCTGACACACCTGTGTTGCCATGAGTTGGAATTGACTAAACGGCAACTGGAAAATTGAAATCTGAAGGCCTTTACTTCCAACTGCTGGGAGACAGAATTCACTCATTCAATCAATAGATATTTATTGAGCACCTAGTGTGTGCCAAGTAGTGTTCCAGATGCTGGGGATATAGTGAGAAAAAGACAAAAATAAAGTCCTTGTTTTTATAAAGTTTAGATTTGGGTTGGGGGAGACAGATAATAAATAAGTAAACATGTATAAACAAGATAGTTTTAGTTGAAATGTGTGGCTAGGGTGATAGGAGGCCAGCTAAGGTGATGATGGATGGGCAGGTGACACTGAGCTGGGACAGAATGAGCCCGTCATGGGAAAAGCCAGGAGAAGGATATTCCTGGCAGAGGGAAACACAGTACAGAGATGCCAAAGAAGGTAAGCTTGAGATTTTCTAGGAGCTGCAAGAAGACCCTTTTGGTGAGAGTACAGTGAGCACCAGAAGGGGTTGGGAGAGTGGACAGGGGCCAGCTTATGCAGTGCCTCACAGGTCTTGGCAAGTTTTTATTCTGTTCTGAATGTGAAAGAGCCGTTGGATGGTTTAACAGGGGAGTGACATGCTCACTTGGCTATCATGCGGAAAATACTTTGGATGAGAGAGTAGAAACAGCGGGCTCAGATAGGAGGCTACTGCAGAAGTTCAGGTGAGAAACGGAGATGTATGCTTGTGAGTGGAGTCCCTCGGTGGTACAAATAGTTAATGTGCTCAGCTGTTAACCAAAAGGTTGAAAGTTTGAGTCCACCCTCAGGTGCCTCAGAAGAAAGACCTGATGATCTACTTTTGAAAAATCAGTAACTGAAAACCCTATGCAGCAAAGTTCTACTCTGACACACAGGGGGCCGCCATGAGTCAGAGATGACTTGATGGCAACTGGATGCTTGTGGGTAGAACATGGGGATGGGTAAAAGTGAACAGAACCAGATATATTTGGGGAGATTAAGCCACCAGGACTTGCTGATGTGCTCAAAACGCTTCCTAACATTTGGATCTTTTTTAAGCAGCCTCTACTCCCACCCCAGCCCAACCATGAAGAGCCTAGTAGAAGTAGAAACCCCCAAGCACCCCAAAGGCGTAAGTATGAGGGCTGCCTTCTCTTGCCCACCAGCTACCCACACTGCCACCCCCAGCAGAATGCTTTCTTCTTTTTAATTGACCTTCATTTTCTTCCCTTCTAGTCCCTGCTCCTTTGATAGACAGAAGCAAGAAACCTCCCCTAGATCGGTCATTAGCTCCATTTGACAGAGAACCCTTCACACTAGGTTGGTAAAATTCATATTTGATGAGCTCAGTCTTCTTATTTGTAAAATGGGTGTTCTGTAAGAAGAAACTATTTTATAAAACGCTAAAGTGTTATGCAAATGTTGGGGTTGTTTTTTGATGTAGGTGCGGAGTTGATGAAACAGTGGCTATACTATAGTCCTTTTCCCCCAGAATTTGCACAGAATAATCTTGGATGGTAGCTACCCCCACATGGAGCTATTTTCAATTTAATTCTAAACCTTAGCTATCATTTATTGAGCATCTACTACTACATTATTTCTAATCCTTACACCAACCCAACAAAAAAACTGTTGCTGTCCAGTTGATTCGAACTCATGGCAACCCCACGTGTGTCAGAGTAGAACTGCACTCCATAGGGTTTTCAACGGCTGTGACCTTTTGGAAGTAGATCACCAGGTCTTTCTTTCGAAGAGCCTCTGGATGGGTTTGAACCACTAACCTTTGGTTAGCAGCTGAGCACTTAACCATTTGTGCCACCCAGGGACTCCTAACCCAACAAAAACCCATTGCTGTTGTGTCAATTTCAAGTCATAGTGACCCTATAGGACAGAATAGAACTGCCTTATAGGATTTACAGAAGCAGACTGCCACATCTTTCTCCTGCAGAGCAACTGGAGGGTTCAAACTGCTGACCTTTTGATTAGCAGCCAAGCACTTAACCACTACACCACCAGGACTCCTTAACCCAACAAAGGTGGTGTATTATTATCCCCACTTTGCAGACGATAAAACTGAGGCATTTAAGAAGGCTTGACTAATTTGTCCCAATTTACAGAAGTGAGTTCAGAGCTAGGATTTGAAGCCCTGTCTTTCTGGCTTCAGAGCGGGTGCTCTTTTCTACATCATGCTACAGTTGGCAACTCGGGATTTTCACTTGCTATGAACTAGGGAGGTGTGGGGAAAGAGTCCCAGACTTGGAGGGATAAGGAGACCAGAGTCCCAGCCCCAATCTAGCCCTTCTTAGCTACATGCTGAGCAAAGCATTTAGCCTTTTGCAGCCTCAGTCTCCTCATCTGTCTGTGAAATGACATTTAAGTCTTAGATTTGAGAAGGCTGCTCGCTGCTGCTGCTGCCCCTACTGCATCCCAGCTCTGCTGACTCAGGCAAAGCTGAGCCGGTATTCTAGTTTCAACTTGTCCCCTGCAGAGAGCTGCACGAGATGAGTGAAAAGGAAGGCAGAGAGATGAGACTTCAGACTGTAACCCTGCTCAGTAGAGGAGCCAAGCCATCAGAAAAGTGAAATACTGATGTCAAATCTTTCAGATTCAGCTCCAGACACAAAAGCTACCCTTTTAAAAGATTCTTCTTACTCTGCCTCTCCCCTTTCCCCTCTCCTTTTCCTTCTCCTTCTTCCTCTTCCTTTTTAAAGGCACCCTTTCTTGGCAATACCAGCTCTGCCCTTGAATTACTCCCTTTTCCATGATGTTTTGGGAATCCTAACTTCTTCTTACAATGCTTAGCCTCTAAGCATGAGACTCCTAACATTCCTAGAGAATATGCATAAATCGGTAGATATGTTTAAAGAAAATCTATTTAGAACTAGGATATAAATCTCAGTTTCTTGAGTATCCCTGTAAAGTAAGTGTTCCACCCAAATAATACAAATAATAGTAAATATCTTTTATACCTTCAAAACTCTCTCCTACTAGACAGTGAGATTTTCACAGTGGGACGATAGTTTTAGCACCTACCGTGGGCCTGACATACACTCACCCCTTAAGGAATGCATCTTGTTGTAAAAGTGCATCTCCAGACCCATCCTATCACCTCTCACCTTAGGATGTTAACAATACCTAGGAGTGGGAGGGAAGGAGAGAAAGGAGCTAACTAACAGTTGTTCAGCGTCCATCCATCGTGTTCTTGACCCTGCACATACATTGTCACATGATCCTAATGGCAAACTTAGGCAGTTTTAACCTGTAATCCCCATTTTACAGATGAGGAAACTGAGACTCAATAACTTTAAATAACTTGCTTAAGATCACATAGGATTTGCTTCTAGGCCTGGTTGAATCCAGTTAGTAATACTTCTATCACATAGAAGACAAAGGTCATGTTTACTCTAGGGAACTTCAGACAGAAGAAAAAATAAATTGCTTTGAATAATCTTGCAATGCAGAGTTCTCAGGTTCACCTGCTGTTTCTCAGGGAGCTTGCATGTCATCTGTTTCAGAAGATAAAGGAAAATAAACAAACAAAAACCACTACCACCAACAATAATAACAACCAAAAACAATTTACAGTACACCATGAGAATCTCCAGAGCCCCTGGATGGTGCAAACAGTTAATGCACTCAGCTGCTAAAAGAAAGTTTAGAGGTTCAAGTCCATCCAGAGGTGCCACGGAAGAAAGACCTGACAATCTACTTCTGAAAAATCAGCCATTAAAAGCCCTAAGGAGCACAGTTCTATTCTGACACCCACTGGGTCACTATGAGTCGAGGTTGACTTGGCAGCAGCTAGTAGGAAAATTTTCTAAAATCCTCTGCCCCAAGTTAAAAGTTTTTCCAGAAATATTTGTGAAGAAACTAACTGGACTACTTTATTTAATATCAAGTATACTACAGGATTGGAGGAAAATTAACCCCTCCATGGCAAACTGGGTTTATTTCAGATATGGAAATAAACTTAGGCAATACAAAGAACACTTTGGCCAATAAAAGAGATGTAAAAACCCAGAAGACATGAAGCCTTTTTATCATCAGTTATATAAAATAAAATGTTGAAAAGAAGCTCAGAACCCACAATACTGTTTGTATGTAGGCAAAGCTGTGTGACCTTGGGCAAGTCACTTAATTTCTCTGAGCCTGTAAAGTTAGATGCCCTGTAAGGGAACCTACCAGGTTGAAAGTCATGATTCCTCAACACTTAAACCCGATCAGCCTACTAAAGGGCTCAGAAACTCATGGTTTTAGCAAACTGTTTTTAAACCTCATGTTTATTGAATCCTGGATACAAGATCCATCTGTTGCTTGTTATTTACAGGAAAGAAAACAGCATTTTCTGACAAGGTAAGCTGTGTCCTTGTTTTTTTTTATCTTTTTCATCTTGCCCTCATTCTTTGAAAAGTGCTGGGGAAACTCACATGTCTTCCTTGCTGTTTTACAGCCCTCGATTCCGGCAGGCAGGTAAGACTCTCTGTTGCATCTGCCTTGAAGGCACATGGTACATGCCGAAGAACTCTGTGTTTCTCACGGTCTTTCTCTGAACTACGCAGGCCTCTCGGGGAGCATTTACCCAAGATACAAAAGCCTCCTTTACCACCAGCCACCGAAAGACACGAAAGAAGCCCCCTGCCAGGGAAAAAGCCACCTGTGCCAAAGTAACTGTCTTCTGTTTCTTGTCATTCAAATGAGTGGATGCCACATACTACCTGCCTAGTGTTAGGGCTGCATTGGAGACTGAAAAGGATTGGCATTGTTAGATGGGAGTGAGCTCCTTTTACTGCTGTGGTTGAGAAATGTTCAGGCTGCTCAAGTTAGAGATAAAGTACCAGGGTCTCTGGAGAAAATGGGAATCTAGCAAAGAAATAGGGAGTTGCTTTATCAGAAGTATGGGAATCACTGCTGTTTATAGACAGCTGTCCTCATACGGGCAAATATTTGGTTGCGTTTTCCTACATTTTTATACCAAAACCTGCACCATGCATAGGAACCAGGCCTATCATTTTCTTTTTAATACAGGTAGCAGAGAGGAAATGACTGGGGGGGAGGTTTTGAGGTCACCGTATGTGGCTTCCTTACTGCTCAACTACATTTTCTAACTGCAGAATACTGAGGCTTGCACCAATATTTCTAACTTTACTGTATAGTTATTTGGGGCCTATTTACCAAATGGCACAAATGTATCTGGGGTCAGGCCCAACCCCACTACTTGTTAAGCATATTACCAAGGCTTCTATTTATTTTATCTGTGAAATGGGGATTCATAACTACTGTCATTGTTTGGTTTGTAAGGATTAAATCAGCACCAGGATTGTTGTTGTTAGCTGCTTTCAAGCTGGCTCCAACTCATGGCAACCTTCTGTATGGCAGAATAAGATGTTGCCCTGTCCTGCGCCATCTTCATAATCTTTAATATGTTCGAGCCTGTTGTTGAGGCTATTGTGTCAATCCATCTCTTCAAGGGTTTCCCTCATTTTTGCTGAGCCTCCACTTTACCAAACATGATGTCCTTCTCTTGCCATTGGTCTTTCTTGATGATGTATCTAAACTATGTGTGTCAAAATCTCACCATCTGTGCTTCTAAGGAGCATTCGGGGACCAGCACTAAGACATGCCAAAAAAACTCAGTAATCAAGTTAAATAATATTCCAGTGCAATATTTCAAAAAATCAAAATGAGTGCAAAAAGAAATCTTAATGAACCAAGTATCAAAGGACTAAATAAAGACACAATGAGATGGTGCCATGTGAAGCATCTCACACACAGTAGGTGTTCAACAAACTTCCCTCCTCTTCCCCCTCTTCTTAAAGAGACTATGGTGTGGGGCCAGGCATTACAGAAGCTTGTGCAGCTTAAAGGCGGCTGTCACCATATCTGTGTGACAAGTCTGTTTATCTGGGTCAACTGAACTGAGCCCCTTTTGGAGAAGTCCCAAAACAGCAACATTTCCAACTGTCTTCTCATTACATGGAGGGTGAGCCCTGAGATAGCTGTTTTAAAACATCAGCAAAAGAGAATATTGCCTAAAATGTTTTTATTTGCTTTGAGAAATATCTACTCAGGGAAATTTAATAGCTACTAAAGAGTTAGTTTGCTGACTACACCCTTTTTTCATATATACATAATTATTTGCTGCAGTAGCTAAACAGAATAAAGGTTTTCCTAGCTCAGCTTTCAATGATGACAGAACATTGAGTAACCAAACCTCCTTTCAACTCCCTTGCCACTGCATTTCTGCCAGGGGGTTTGCTTACCATGTTACCACGGCTCAGTGGGCTTGATACCTCATTATTAAATTAAATTAAACTATCTATAATCTAAGGCCAGCTCTTGCAAATTCCTTATGCTCTGTTCTTTTTCTTTGCCCTGATTCATTTCAGGCATGGATGGGGACCAGACAGAAGAGAGAATGTAAGTACGGACTATGTTGTAAATGTTTTGCATAGGGAAGACCAGCGTAGGCTCTGTGGGAGTTGGCACTGCATCTCTCTTGGCCTTTAATGAATTCCTGGCCTGCACACAGTAGAATACTTGGTGCCCTGGCTTTCTCTCATGCCCACCAGGCTGTACTGCTTAGTTCCTCTCTCTCAGAGAACTCCTAGGATGGCTGAGTTAACTGCAGCCCCATTAAAAAAAAAAAAAAATGGAAGAAAAAATGCCATCAAGTTGACTTTGACTTATGGTGACCCCATGTATGTCCGAGTAGAACAGTGTTCCCTAGGGTTTTCAATGGCTGATGTTTCAGAAGTAGACTGCCAGGCCTTTCTTCTGAGTTGCCACTGGGTGGACTCAAACCTCCAAACTTTCTGTTAGCAGCTAACCATTTCCCTTCTACTGATTTCCCTTCTACTCTCTCCATGACCTGAAAAAGAGGGGAAATAGCATTTACTGAGTGCCTGCTATGTGCAGGTTGCCATGTTAGCTACTTCTAGGGGAACAACTGTTCCAGTTTGCCTGAGACTTTACCGGTTTTAGCACTGAAAATCCCACGATTCGGGAACCTCCTCAGTCCCAGGCTAAACAGGATGGCTGATCGTTATAGCTTTCCACGGGTTTTGTATTTACTGGTGGCACAGTGGTTAAAAACTCAGCTGCTAACCAAAAGTTCGAACCCACCAGCCACTCCTTGGAAACCCTATGGGGCAGTTCGACTCTGTCCTATAGGGTCTCTATGAGTTGGAATCGACTTCATACAAACGGGTTTGTTTTTGGTTTGGTTTGGTTTGTTTTTTTGATCCTGTGAGGAATCATCCTTTCTCTTTTACTGAGAGGAAACTGAGGCTCAGAGGAGTAAGAAACACACTCCAACTTGCAAATAGCCAGAATCTGAATCCACACCTGTCTTATTGCGTCTATACTAAGTACTCTGAGGAGTCCCTAGGTGGTGGAAATGATTAACACACTCTGCTAACTGAAAGGTTGGTGGTTCGAATCCACCCAGAGGTGCCTCGGGAGAAAGGCCAAACAATCTACTTCCAAAAAATCATTCAGTGAAAACCCCGTGGAGCACAGTTCTACCATCATACACGTGGGATTTCCATGAGCTGGGATCAACTCAACGGCAACTGGTTAAATCCTTCAAAGGCCATCAAATCCTGCTCAAGTGCTCAGCCCACAAGTGCCTGCTGTGTCATTAGCTCTGTGCTACATGCTGTGCTCATTCAGATGAAGTGACGAGATATGGTGGAGATAGGCAAATCCACGTCAAACATGCAAAGCAGCATACAATCTCAGAATGATTGGTGGAGGCTAAGGGAAGGTGATCCTTGAGGGTCAAGGAGCCAGGGAGTGAGATTAGGGATGGTCACTGAATGATGGGGAGGACCCAGGATAGAGTCACTCTAAGAGAAAGCCCAAGCACATTCCAGCCTCAGAATGGCCTGAGCAAAGGCAGATGGGTGGCAGTGCCCATGGAATCTGTGGGGGCAGAGAGGACAGCAACCACAGGGACACAGAGGAGGTAAGGTTGAACCACAAGGGTAACCCCACATTCCTGAGGTCCCCAGTCCCTGGAAGGATTGACACTAGTTGTCAAAGGGAGCAGGGAGTCATAAATCCTTGAGCAGAGAAGGTATGGTTACAGCAGTGTTGAGTTATGCCCTTGTGGTGAGTTCATGAGCCCATGTGCATCTATACAGCCCTTTGCTGGACTCAGAGTTGACCCACTGAGATTAGTGATTGTGGCTATGATCCTGCTTGCCTTATGTCTCAATGCTTGCTTGGTAGCACTGATGAGAGCTAACTTCTAATGAGCACTTACCATGTGCCATGCACACATATCAACTGATTAATCCTCATCACAGTACCTTGAGGAAGGTGCTATTTTATGACCACTGAGCCAGCCTAACAAAATAAGTCCAAGTTGGCAATTTTGTCCTACTAGTCAACGGCAAAATCATTTTGCCTCTCTGAAGTTCATTCCTTTTCTTGTAATTGTCGTTATTTGCTGTTGAGTGTTTTCCAACTCATGGCAACCCCATGCGTATTAGAGTAGAACTGTGCTCCATGAGGGTTTCAAAGCTGTGACCTTTTGGAAAGAGATCGCCAGGCCTGTCTTCTGAGGCACCTCTCGGTGGGTTCGAACAGCCAACCTTTCTGATATTTGAACTCTTAACTGTTTGCACCACCAAACCTCATTCCTTATCCTAAGAATACAGAAAATAACCCTTCCCCTGACTATTTTTCAAGGTTTCTGTGAAATTAAATAAGCTTAGGAATATAGACTCGCTTGGTAAGCCACACTATAAAGAAAGAAAATCGTGTTGATTTTAAGAAAAGTGACCATTGCAAAGCAGAGACAAAAAGAAGGCTGAGCTTTGCGTCAGACAGATTTGAGATTGAATCCATGTTGGCAAGTCAGGAATCCTTCCTGAGCATCATGTCTCCATCTGTGAAATGGGGATATTAAATCTTTGAGGGGTTATTAGGAGAACGGAATGAAATATTGTATCAACTTCTCAGGCATAGAATAGACACTATATACTATTATATGTTTGGGCACTTTAGTTGTTGTTAGCTACTATCAAGTCAGCCCCAACTCATGGCAACCCCACGCCCAACAGAACAAAATGCTGCCAGGTCCTGCACCATCCCTATGATTGGTTGCAGATTGAACCATTGCGATCCACAGGGTTTTCATTGGCTGAGTTTCAGAAGTAGATTGCCATGCCTTTCTTCTTAGTCTGTCTTAGTCCTGGAAGCTCCACTGAAACCTGTTCAGCGTCATAACAAATGCAATCCTCCACTGACAGATGGGTAGTGGCTGAACATGAGGTTCACCGACCAGGAATTGAACCTGGGTCTTCCCCATGGAAGGCGAGAATTCTCCCACTGAACTACCACTGCCCTCTTTGGGAACTTTTAGGCATCTCAAAATCTATTTTATGCGTATATGAGGAGAGTCTTAGATTGGAGTGTCCTTAGATGATCATTTATATTAAGAAAATTCAAGCCATTTAATAAGCCCTACTATTCTCCATAATACATTTATTATGGGGAGGCATATGCTAAAGAAAAAAACAGATACTTATATGATTGAAGAATGCAGTTCTTTTGGAATTGTGTGTTAATAATAGGTTCTTTTTTTTCCCCCCTCTCTCCCTCTGACCAGGATGAAGATGACGGTATGTTCAAAAAAGCCTTTTTACAACTTACAACTCATTTCTTCACTCTTCTGCTCAGGCATTCAAATGGAATTGTTTAGTACAGGAATGTCATAGAAGCAATTATAATCATTAAATTAATATTAAGTAGACATATATCAGTTGGTTTATTCAATAACTATAATAAAATGGAATTATTTGTTTGGTTGCCAAAGACAACTATTAACTTCATCTCTAATAGCACAGATTATTCGATTGTACCACAAAATTAAAATGTGCGTGTATGGTTTGATAGAACATTTTTAATATTTATGCCCTCCAACATATGTGGGTAAAGAACCACAAACTGCGGATCGATGAGATCACACAGAATTTTGGCTTTCATAAAACAGAACGAAACAAAGCAAAATGAAACTTGTGAATCATGTCTGAAATGCAAAAGGTCTCCAGGCAACAATTTTCTGCCAAGTTAGCATTTCAGAAGTTATAAAAATAAAATAAATATGTATTATACGGAATAATATAGAACGGCAGTATTTTTTAATGTATTCTAAGGTGGTAAATTATCTAGAAAAACTGGGGGGGGCTGGTGTTCTAGCTGACCATTTTCTAGCTACATCTGATCTTTTGCATTTTGGTATTCCTGTTTAGATTAATGGTTTCTAACTGGGGTCCTTGGGGAGCAGTTCTGGAATGTTCCTTGGTGATACTTTGGATTGTGGATCCTGTCAGCCTCCCTTATTTTTTTCTCCTCCCCACAGTGCATCAAAGACCTTTGCCCCAGCCAGCACTGCCCTCCATGAGCTCCAATACTTTCCCTTCAAGATCCACCAAGCTGAACCCTAAGCATTCCCTCCCACTGCCTCACATGCCCGGAGCATTCTCAGAAAGGTTTGTGGCAATGTCGTTAAATTCTAACCTAACTTAATAACGTCTCTTGGGTCCACCCTACACTAAGGTAATGCCTGCTCGGTTGAGGAAGAAAGAACTGAGCCAGTGGGTAGTAAGAACATTTTGGGTCTTAAGAAACAAACCCAAGCTGAGCATTAAGAACATGTGCTAATCCACTGCTGTCCCCAAGTCTCTGTGCTTGGGAGAGGGGGTGTGCAGAGTTAATTGCCCCCTTCATTGCCCCAGTCAGAATGGACCCTTTTGAAAGAAATGGGGAATGTTTTCACTTAGTGAGTTAAACAAACAAAACAGATGACCCTTAAGAAGCCCAATTAAGGAGAGTATTTACAGTACCTTCTGCACCTTGGACTGGGAGGATGAGAAAATATGCCTAAACCAAAGCCAAACCCACTGCCGTTGAGTCGATTCTGGCTCATGGCAACCCCATGTGTTACAGAGTAGAACTGCTCCATAAGGTTTTCTTGGCTGTAATCTTTACAAAACAGATGGCTGGGACTTTCTTTTGTGGCGTCGCTGCATAGGATTCAACCATCAACCTTTTGGTTAGTAGCCCAAACCTCTTGCGCTACCCAGGGAGAAAATGTGCCTAGTATTTGGCAGTTGCTAAGCATTCACTGTGCAGGTTCTGTCACCTAGCAGGTCTATTTTCTCAACAGCAATGGTATTTCTCAGGGCCCACGATAAAGCTGTCCAGAGGCAGAGAAACGAACAGGAGAAAGACTCAGTCACGGCTGCCTCCTGGTGTTCCCAGAGCCTCCAGCCTCTGGGCTCACCCTCTCCTCTTCTATTCAAAGGGAGAAGCCCAAGTCCCCACCCTACGTCTTGTAGAAAACTACCAGCAACCCTCCCTACACCTCTGCCAAACACCTCAGAGAATTCTCAGAATCTTGCATTTCTCCTAGGTGCCTTTTGCTCTGATGTTTTGCTACTTCTCATTCTTCTATCTCTGGGCTGTTTGTCTTCTTCCACCACGCTTCTTCATCCCACACTGGGTCCCACCCCTATCATTCATGCTCAAAAAATACCATTCCCCCTAGGTTGCTGCGTAGAACAGACTTTTACTGAAGGCTTGGGCTAATGGGTGGGAATGTGACTGCTCAGCATGCAGCAGACAGCATTGATGGCAGCTAACTACAACAAAGCAGCCCCGGTGGTGCAATAGTTAAGTGCTTGGCTGCTAACTGAAAGGTCGGCTGTTTGAACCCACCAGCTGCTCTGTGGGAGAAAGATGTGCAGTCGGCTTGTGTAAAGATTCCATCCATTGAAATAAAACCCATTGCCATCGAGTTGATTCTAACACATAGCAACCCTATAGGACCGAGTAGAACTGCCCCATATGGTTCCCAGGGAGAGGCTGGTGGATTCAAACTACCAACCCTTTGGTTAGCAGACAAGCGCTTAACCACTGCACCACTAGGGCTCCCTGTAAAGGTTACAGCTGTGGAAATCTTATGGGGCTGTTCTACCCTGTTCTATAAGGTTGCTGTTAGTTGGAAACAACTCGATGGCAATGGGTTTGGTTTACTAACCAAAAGGTTGGTGGTTCGAACCCACCCAACACCTCTGGGGGAGAAATACCTGGAAATTTGCTTCTGTAAAGGTTACAGCCAAGAAAACTATGGGGCATTTCTGCTCTGTCACGTAGTCACTGCAAGTCTGGAGCAACTCGACAGCACCTAACAACAACAACCCATGCCCTCCCTCCTCCAACCCAGCCTCTGCGAGTACTGTTATTCTCTGATACAGCAACATCCAGCCCTCTCTTTGTTCCTCCCCCACCCTATCCTCTCGTGGCAGACCATCAGGCCCTATGAATTCCCTATTCACAAACAAAGTGCCCATTAATGTGGTTTCCCACCACTTGGAGAGAAGTCCTCTCTCCCCAGAGGACTTATATCGTTCTCCAAACTTGAAGGCCTCAAACTGCAGCCAGGTTTTTAAATTAACTCTTAGAATAACACAGGTTTTATTGTTGTTTCTTTCTTTCTGTTTTTTTGACTTATGAAGCTTGTTAGACTTTGGGAGGGTCCATCTTGGGACAAATCTGTCTTAGAAGAAGTAGAGCTAGAATGGTCCTCAGGAGGGAGTATGGTGAGACTTTGTCTTATGTACTTTGGACATCTTATCAGGAGGGACTAGTCCCTGGAGAAGGACATCATACTTGGTAGAGGGTCAGAGAAAAAGAGGAAGACCCTCAATGAGATGGACTGACGCAGCGGCTGCAACAATGGGCTCAAACATAACAACGATTGTGAGATGGCGCAGGACAGAGCAGTGTTTTGTTCTGTTGTACACGGGGTGGCTTTGAGTCAGAACTGACCCCACAGCACCTAACAACAGCAACACCAATCTTGGGCTGGTAATGAAAAGTGTGTGATAAGTTTCTTCCCTTCCTTGCCCAGCTCCCAGGGTTTCAGAGAGGGGAATGGGAAGACTCCAGCTTCCCCAACTGGCCGCTTCACACCAATCCAACTTAAAATCTGTCCTTTTTCTGTCTCCACAGTAACAACAATTTTCCGCAGAGTGCCTCACTGCCACCGTACTTTTCTCAAGGTTTGTACTCTAGTTACCTACTCTGCCCAACATGCCTTTGTGACTCGATTCTCAACCTGTCCCAAAGCCTTTGACAAAGGTTTTGTTGTTTCCTAAAAACATGTAACTTCCTCATTCAGTGTGTGCAGGGTGCCAAGGGCTGTTGGAATGATGGCAACTACATAAAACACCACACACACACACACACGCACACACACACGCACACACACACACTCTTCACCAGGAATCTACCCACATAGAGCCTTTTATGCCCTGTTTTCCTACAGGGCTCAGGATAGTAGTGCTTGGCTATATGAAATACACTATTAATCAAAATTAAGCTCTTTCCCCCAAGACTGCCAGGACACTTGGTCCTCAATCTTCTCCACTCGTTGCTCCACCATCAGATGAGGAAAAGCTTGTGTTGTGTGTTGTCCAAAAACCAGTCACAATTCCCTCGAGGATCTAGAAATTAAGAGTGGTAGGTGACTGCAATAAAAAGTATATGTGCTTGAATTATGCTGAGGAAATAAGCCAATCACGAAAGGACAGGTATTGTATGAACTCACTTATACAAAAAGACAAGAAAAGGTAAATGTACAGAGACCAAACTTTATTAGTGGTTTCCAGGGGCAAAAGAGAGGAGAAAAAGGAGGGTTAATGGTGATGGAAAAATCTTATTAAGGGTAGAGTTGAACAGCCGATTATTGTAACTGCTATCAATAAGTTGTATACCCGTAAAAAGCTGAAGTGGCAAAAGTTGTGTAATAGATATATTTACAACAACAGAAAACAAGAGTAGCTGCTGAGATTGCTTATGTACAGCCAAACACCTCATGAAATTTAGTTCTTTGGTTTGGAGGTTTAGGGTCATGGTTTCATGGGATATCCCTGTTAATTGGTCTAATAACATGTTTAGTGCTTCTGTTCTACTTCCTGGTTTATTGTGTAGTGCCTGGGGTCTTAAAAGCTTGCAAGGCACAGCAATTGGTCGCTATTCACGTAGAGCAACAGAGGAAGAAGGAGAGTCAGGAATAGTAGGTGGCTAACTGCCTCCATGAACAACTGCCTCCTTTGCCATGAAACCAAAAGAACTGGATGATGCCGAGCTGCCATTACTGAACATTTTGATCAAAATTCCAAAGAAGAATCTTGAACGAAAGGGGGAAAATACAGAATGAAATTTGAAATTTTCATGGACTCCAGAACTTCTGGAGACGCAGAGGCTGGATGAACCCCTGAAACTATTGCCTTGAGATAATCTTGAAAGTTTAAACCAAAAATATCCCCTGAAATCATCTTAAAACCTAACAATAGTTTCGCTTAACTAGTAAAAAACGTCTTCCTTGAACATTATGCTCTTTTAAGAATCATCTATATCGGACCAAGCTGACAACAGCAATTCAAAAGATTAGATAGGAACCATAGGAGGCAATGAGTTTATGTTAATGAGGGAGGAACAACTCAGAAAAGGAGGGTGAAAATGGGTGCACAACTTGAAGAATGTCATCAATGTCACTAAATTGTACATGTGGAAACTGTTGAATTGGTATATGTTTTGCTGTGTATATTCTCAACAAGAACAAAATAAACAAAATTCAGAAGAAAAAAAGAGTGAGTATACTTGAATGGCTGCTTGTCTGTTGTGAATCATGACTTAATGGTGCCGATATAAATGTGCAGAAGCAGAAAGAAAATAATTCAGAATGTTATTGGCGTAGTTACATAATGCTGCCTAAGCAGGCCTTGTGGTTTTTAACAGATGAAACTTATTCTCCAAGTCCTGGTTTCTTGAAATGTTAATTATCTTAACAATTGCAAGGACAGTTTGGGGGTGGGGTGGTGGAAAGGTGTTATGACTAAAGTAAAAAATAACTTACAGTAAATTAACTTCCAAAACTCTATACTTTTGAAGGCCCTAGCAACAGACCACCTCCCAGAATTACAGCTGAAGGCAGGAACTATCCCTTACCAGTTTCAAATAAACCCCAGCCACCATCCCATGAAGAAGAAGAGGTAATAAAGCATATGTTTTTATTTTTGTTGTTGTTTTTTTCTCAACAAATCAATCATCGAAACTCTCATTGAATACACTTTTGTACTTTTATCTTCTATGAGCCTTAATACTTTTTTAAAGAAAAAAATGAAAGGGGAGGATCCAGGTGAAAAATACTGTATCCTTTTCCCTTGCTGTTCTTCCAGTTTCTTCCAACGGCAAATGTGTGTTTTGCATTAAACAATGAGAAATATAATCCTTTCTTTTTTCAATCTGTTTCCTAGCTTCTGACCCTGAATATGTCACTTAACTGCTCCTTAACCCATTTTTCTTAAGTTTATTATCGTACTAAACTGGAGAAGTTATTATATCTTCATCTTGTCTGATTAGAGGTTCCCTTATATGAACCAGTTGCCATTGAGTCAATTCTGACTCAGGGCGACCCTATGTGTGTCAGAGTAGAACTACACTCCATAGGGTTTTCAGTGGCTGTGATCTTTTGGAAGTAGATCAGCAGGCCTGTCTAGCAAGGTGCCTCTAAGTAGGTTTGAACCACCAACCTTTTGGTTAGTATGTGGGCACTTAACTGTTTGCACTTCCCAAGGACTCCAATGCCATTATATAAGGGATGATTATCCACAGCTACCTTTTCAGAGCGTAATGATAAAAAGCAGTTCACAAAAAATATCTCCTATTGAGCCCCACCTAAACGATTCTGTGGAGTCCCTGGTAGTGCAAAAGGTTAACATGCTCAGCTGCTAGCTGAAAGGTTGGAGGTTTGAGTTCACCCAGAGACACCTCAGAAGAAAGGCCTGGCGCAATCTACTCTGAAAGACCAGCCATTGAAATCCTTATGAAATACAGTTCTGCTCTAACACACGTGGGGTTGCTGTGAATTGGAATCGACACTATGGCAACTGGTTTTAAATGATTCTATATTCAAATTAAGAAAACAAATGTTTCAAACCTCATGGAATGGTGGTGATTTATGTAAATTATTACTTAGAAGCTTTTCTTTTCACTTGTATATGTAACTGCAAAATTTATCCAGTGTTTAAAAATTTATATTTTCAGAATTCATTAAATGAAGAATGGTATGTTTCTTATATTACCCGGCTAGAGGCAGAAGCTGCTCTTAGAAGGATAAACCAGGTACTCTGCTGAAGTGTATTTTTAAGTAGTCATAGATATTAATGGAGGGAGGAGACGGGAACTAACTTTTATTAAGTACCAATTCCGGGCTAGGAATTCAGCTAGGTGCTGCTCATACTGTTTACCTGTGAGACCCATTAGTGCCAGCCTCACACCTGTCAGCCCCAATAGCAATGATTCCTAGGACCCGTGAAAAATCTAAATTGAGGCAGAGACATGTGGCTTGCATAATCTTAGCTTTTATTAACAAGAAGTGTCCATGTTGTCAAAAGAATCATACCATACCAAAAGGATACTGTCTTTCCTTCCGAATTTCTAGCATCTTGCCAGATCTATCTTCCCCTTAATATACCCTTGCCAGCCACGCAGATATAAAGGTCCCATATGGAGAGAAACAGCAGCGAACTTAGCCCTTTTCCCTGGAAATGTCTAGCTTGTCCTTTAACACGAGGTCTTAACCAGATGTCCTGTGGCCCTGTGCTGAACTCTAATCTTAAATCTATTTATCAGAGGGGGGGAAAGCAAAGATCCTTTACCTTTTGCTCCAAGAGCAACTTGTGGCTCTGTAACTGTATCTAAAGTTTATAGCAGTGGTACTTTATCTTAGCCACATATTTAAATCACCTGGGCCCTTTAAAAAATCCTGAAGCCTGGGTCTCACCCTGAGAGATTCTGACTTAATTAGCTGAGGGTGCTGGGGGCGTGGAGCATAGGGTCTGGGAATCCTCAAAGTTCCCTAGGTGATTTTAATTCGAAGCCAAGGTTGAGAATCACTGGTCCAGAATTTGTTTGTTTAACATACAGATATTCTGACTGGCTCAATCACCCGGGAATAAAAAGAACACAGAAAGCCATTGTTACAGACTGATGGCTGTTTCAAGCCATGCTGATTCAGTATAGGGAAGAGGGTCCTTACTAGTTAATTCTATTTTAATATTAGATCCTTACAGTATTAATAAATTATGTAGCAATAATTTAATGCTGAAATTTTAAAGTACAGGACAAATCACAGCACTTTTAGTCTCTTACAGAGACGTCCGCATTCCATTTTGTTCTGGTATGTGATGAATGAAGTGCTATTCTAGAAATCACGAGGTTTTAAAGGTTTTTATAGGCATGTGAGTGTTTTCTAACTTGGGATGGGAAAAGAAAGGGCTAGGGAATTAGCTCACAGGAATAGGAAGATCTATCTTTTGTTAACCACTAAAGCTTTTATTTCTCCTGACCCTTTATCCACTCAACCGCTATTGTTTGTTTTATTACTGAAAAAGGGATTCCTTTTTTATCAAGAGACTTCAAAGAGGTTGCTTTGGAAATTTCTCTGATATCATCTCTGCTGCCTCTTTCTTTACAACCAAAAAATCCGTAACACTTGGTATGTGTAGCTATTTGGGGAACTGAATGTTCACTGACTTGTGAACTGCTAGGTTTTGCAGATCCCTGGAGGCTTTGTCTAAGGCTCTTAGAGGCAACAAAAGTATTGACTTTTACTGCTCTCATAATAACAAGAATTTGTCCTTTCAGGATGGCACTTTTCTGGTTAGAGACAGCTCTAAAAAAACAGTAACCAATCCGTATGTCCTCATGGTGTTGTACAAAGATAAAGTTTATAACATCCAGATCCGTTACCAGGAGGAAAATCAAGTTTACTTGTTGGGAACTGGACTCCGAGGGAAAGAGGTAAAGACTTCTTCCACTTTCAAAATTTCCCCAGATTCTCTTTTTATGCCTCTTCGCACACCACTACATGAAACCCCGCTGTAACATTCTTTGGGAGTCCATAATGTATGGCAACTTACGAGTTAAATCATATTAGTGAAGCCCTTCGTTTACTGGAAGGAAATAAAGCAAATGTTAACAGTAGCTACCTCTGCCATAAGTCTTTCTTTGTATCTTTTCTTCTAATCTAAAATCACATGTATAACTTTTAAAATATGAAAATGTAGGTTAATATTTAAAATATATTTTTAAAATCCATTTAGATGGTGTCAAAGGCAAGTTCCTTCTATCATTTACTCTGTGACATAAACTTAATATAAGATTGCAGTGTAAGGCTATATTTTAAATCAATACCACCTAGAAAAAGGAAGAAAAAAAACCCTAGGAGAATACTTGATGTGGTGATTACTTAGTTACTTGGGTCCTTTCTTACTAAGAATGGAGGTTTGGGCTCTGTGAAGATAGTCAAATTGCCAAAGAAATTTTCCTCTCTTCCTCCAAGGCGTAGATTCTCATGTCAGTCACTCTGTGTGGTAATAGTAATCCGAAATCAGAACTCGTGTGAAGGAAACTCTTCAGAGCTGCTTGCTGCAAAGGGAACAGCTAAATGTAATGCCCCAAAAATACTCTTTAAGTTCGAGCTTCCAGAAGGCAGACCAGCTGAATCAAATATTTCCAGAATGAGAAACAGCTCACTCATAACTTCCACTTCACTTCAAATATTTTTAAGTTATGATAATGTTAATAAGCAGAAAAATCACAAGACTTTGGTCAAATGTTTGAATCACTGGTGTGGTACGGATAGAGTTGTATAGGTCCCAGAGAAGCAGAGGTGTCCGCCCTCTGAGATTTCTTTTGGTCTAGTGTGGAAAGACTCGAGTACAAACCACTCATTGCAGCTACCCTGGAGGGAGGCACCAAGCAGAGAGAAGTCGTGGAGGAGGTGCATGATCTTGGACACCTACATGACTTCTGATCCATGTCTAAAAGGATGAAGGGGTTTTCCCAGTCTGGTCACCAGGGATGGGGTGATATGGGAAATGGACTTGGAGACTTGGCTGCAAAGCCCTGTGGGTGTGGAGGCAGCAGTGGGAACACAGAAGAGAGATCATGAGGAACTATTGTGCTGTGATTCAGACAGTGGGAACTCTGTGTGACTTCCTGATTCCTGTATACCTGCTAACACTGTCAACGCCTGAGGGTGAAGTAAGGGTACAGAAACCAAAACCACAAATAAGAGCAACCCCAAGGCAACGGTATCATAATTAGATTATTAAGGGTAAATGATCTACTGTGTGAAGTTAAAGGAGTTCTGTTAGCACAGTAATTAAGTGCTTGGCTGCTACCTGAAAGATCGGCTGTTCGAACCCACCAGCTGCTCTGTGGGAGAAAGATGTGGCAGTCTGCTTCCGTAAAGATTTACTCATTGCCGCTGAGTTGATTCTGACTCATAGCAACCCTATAGGACAGAGTAAAATTTACAGCCTTGGAAATCCTATGGGGCGGTTCTACTCTGTCCTATAGGGTTCTTATGAGTTGGAATCAACTCAAAGGCAATGGGTATATGAAGTTAAATCTACATATATACTTATATTTATATATAACTAACTTATATTTTGTATATTATATATATACATATGTATATACGTATATTGTCTTTTATCCACAGTTTGTTGGATATCGGTGAGGAATTTTTTTTCAAAGTTCTAGGGCAGAAATCATTAAAATATTTGCCAAATTTTACGTTTTCTTTGATTGTCATAGCTTCAAGAGGTAGAATGCATTATGCAGATGAAAAACTGAGAAATTCATGCTACTCATCACAATGTGTTTATCTCATTTTTAATCTTTCAGGACTTTAAGTCTGTGGCAGGGATTATCGACTACTTCAGGAAAATGCCACTTCTGCTCATTGACGGGAAGAACCGAGGTTCCAGATACCAGTGCACATTAACGTATGCTGCAGGGTATCCGTAGCAAGTTAGCCAAGGAAATGAACCTTCCTCTTGCCTCTGTTGCTGACACAGGAAGATCTGTCACCTTTAGGGAATGGACAAAGCTTGGGACTGAATAGAGCCCCTCAACATGGAACGCAAGGGTTTTGTCCTTTCGTTTTTAAAAAAGTGTTTGAAAGGAAGACTGTCAAATACCCCCTAATTTATTTTTCTTCAATGTTTGTAAAGTGCACGAGTAATGACGTTCATGCGTAAAGTCTAGTAGTGCACTGCAATAATTCATTTATACGAAACAGATGTGTATTTTGAATACCCATTTCAAGGTACAGTAGTTCACACAGATACAGAAAAAGTCTGGAGCAACTTTAAAAACATTGAACTGTAATAGTTTTTGGTATCACATGAAACTTTTTTTTTAGTAGACTTGTCAGTCAGAGGCAATCATCAGTTTTATACATATAATTTGAAAATTACTAAAATTCACTTTCTCAGCAGCAATAATTTAAGAGGCTTAAATATACTATTTTATTCTTTCTTATTTGGTGGTTTTTTCTGGGGAGGGTGTTTTATAAAAGATAAACGTATGTTGGAATAACTCCCTGGGATTAAAATTAACTTTTTTTTTTTTTTTGCTTTACTTTTGGGCTTCTAAAACAACTTTATTGACTTAACTATTTAGTCCATATATTATTATATATATATTTTGTTTTGAAGCAAAGTTAAGCTACAAATACCAACAGAAAAACATTTTAGATTTAGAGATGAGGCACAGACTTTGGTGTCTAATACACCTGGGTTTAATTGAGGTTGGCACTTCATCGCATTCCCACACCCACATCCCGCCCCCCTCCACCGAGGCCCCTCCAACTCCAAAAGCATTGCCAAGTGATGTAGACTTTACCCAAGGCATCTTGAGCACACGAAGGAGCAAATCATACACACAGAAAAATTTAATCAGACATTTCTGTTAGATTCTCCTCTTCCCTTCCTCTCTCCATCTCTTTTTATCCCTCTGACGACTGCCATAAAGCCCTTTCTCTTCATCCTTTCCAAAAAGGCTCTATAAATCCTCCAAAGCAATCTAGTTCTCTCCTTCAGTTTGCATATCTCACTTAACAAAAAAGTAGTAGTAGTCGGCGTTTAGCAAAACAAAAACCTGGTGTTTAGCAAAACACAGTGACAACTGATTGCTTTTCAAGTTTTTCCCTTTGCGACCTCAGTTATTATTCCACATCTTTTATTAACAACAAAAATTTTTGGTTTCTCTGCTTGATCTACAAGTTTTCTGAGTGGCAAATAGTATCTTACATTTTCATATTCATGAGCTAGTAGAAATATTATTGGAAGGGATCTTAGAAGTCATCTGGTTCAAACTGATGAATTCCTAAGGTGACGAGTCAGTGGAGACTTTTAACAAATGGTAAAAATGGTGTTTCACAAAGACCCATACTACAAAATGGAGGCTCTCAATTTAGGGTCCAGAGCTTGGCAGTTCTAAAGCTGAAAAGCCCGTATTTGTTTACATGTTTATTCAACAAAATATTCAACGAGCATTTGATTAGCGCCTATTCTGTGTTAAACACTGAGCTAGGTGCTGCTGGACAGTGGGAATAGCAGGCAACTAAAGTTCTGCTCTGGGGTGAGCTGAATTTGCCCCTTGTTTCATTGTATTCCATCCTCTATGTTCAAAAATATCTAAAATGAAGGACATAGCAGATTGCAAAGCATCTATATTCTAGTGAATCATGCTTACAAGGTAAACCAAGCTTATTATTTTATTTTTAGTCTCTTCTGGTAGAAGAGGACAGAAGTTAGGACTTTTTAGGATGAAGGTATTCTATTCCACCGCTATGACTCAACTCAGTGGTGGGTATCTCATGTTTTTATATGATTAGCCTTCTTTTATTATTATTATTGTGCTTTAGATGAAGGTTTACAGAACTAGCTTCTGATTAAACAATTAGTACACATACTGTTTTGTGACATTGGTTGCCAACCTCACATGTCAACACTCTCCTCTTCTTGACCTTGGGTTCCCTGTTACCAGCTTTCCCGTCCCTCCTGCTTTCTCGTTCTTGCCCCTAGACTGGTATGCCCCTTTAGTCTCATTTTGTTTTATGGGCCTGTCTAATCTTTGGCTGAAGGGTGAACCTCAGGAATGACTTTAGTACTGAGTTAAAAGGGTGTTCAGGGGCCATACTCTTGGGGTTTCTCCAGTCTCTGTCAGACCTAAGTCTGGTCTTTTTTTGTTAGAATTTTGTTCTACATTTTTCTCCATCTCTGTCTGGGACCCTCTATTGTGATCCCTGTCAGAGCAGTTAGTAGTGGTAGCTGAGTACCATCTAGTTGTGTTGGACTTAGTCCGGTGGAAGCCGTGGTAGTTGTGGTCCATTAGTCTGGACTAATCTTTCCCTTGTGTCTTAGGTTTCCTTTATTCGCCCTTGCTCTAGACAGGGTAGGACCAGCGGAGTATCTTAGATGGCCTCTATGATTAGCATTCTTTATCCTCTTCCTTAGGCACCAGCAACTCCATTTTTTTTTTTGGCAGGGCCCCGCCTCCTTTGGCCATAGACCTGACATTTGAACCCAGCCTTGCCACTCACAACTGCTAGGCACTCAGCTCGGGGATAGACATCTTACCAAAACTTGGAGTTGTCTGCTGCCATGCCTCTACCCACTTCTTCCCATCATGGAGGGAACTAGTCTGTAATAGGAAAGCATGAGGCCAACACACAGAAACTGAGAGAAAGACATCTGATGAATTAGTGGAGACCCTGAAATTTACTCCAAACAGGAACTTCCAAGTCACCGGACCCAATAAATGCTTCAGCTAGCTTGAGTTGTTTTTGGCAACCGCAACCAGGAGAGTTCTGATTAATATAAACTCATACTCTCCACTAATAATTTACTAAGTCTCTTTCAACCTAAGCCAAATTCAAGTATAAGATAAAGGATAAGCAGTGTTCATGACCAATTTCCTATGTCAAATTCTTGCCCATTAGTGAAATAAACCATTCCTTGGAACATTAAAACAACAATGAAACAGCCTTCAAGACTATGAAATGATTATATACAACTTTACTTATATTTATTTTGTTTTAAATTACATTAAATATATGAATAAACTCAATTCTCCCAGATTTTTTAAAAAATTCTACAATAAACACTGTTAGCAATTTACAGCAAACAAGAAATCAGACAGAAAAACTATTAAAAGCAAGCGATACGTCTGACAATTCAGACTTTTCAAAGAGGGGGTTGTTTTTTTCTGTTTCATTTAAGTCCTCTGTCTTCTCAGGATTATTAAAATGTAGAGTAAGGTCACATAGCAATAACTGGGAGAGCTCTGTATAAAACAAAACAATGGAAGATATTAATATCATTGCAGCACATATGTGAGAGAAATCCTATTGCCTTAAATAGCTATTCCCTAATTCCAAATTTAATTTTTTTCAAGTGATATTGATCCAACCACAACTTAGGTATGCCCCATTTTGACTTAAAATCAGATTTATGTACTATAAAAGAAGAATGACAAATTTTATTAGAAGGGCTCTTCAGCTAAACTAGTCAGCTAGCTACCTTACTAAACTGCAGACTGATTTATGTGAATTTGGTTTATACATTATCTAAGTTACATGTACAAAAAGTGTAAAGGCTCAACTAGGTCTATAAGGCTAGTTTCAAAAATAGCAGTTCCTACCCCCTAAGCAGCAACCACTTTCAACTTTTTTAGCTTATTTTGGTTTTATTGCTATTGTTATTGTGTTTGTTTTTGGTATTTACCTCCATATCTTTGAAGGATGTGCTTCTGATATGCTTACTTCATGTTTTTTTCAATTTTAAGTATTATCTACTTCTGGCTATAGACTAAGATTTAGCTCTCTGTACTCACTGCCCTGTCTCCACAATATGTTTATAGTACAATTTTTTCTAGCTTAATGTTCATTTTATTATGTAAATATTTTTCACACCTGAATCTTGTAGTATGATATTTACTTTCCAGCAAGCCCCAACCCCTCACCTCAAGTTAATAATTGTTTTCTTTTTTCATTGCTTAATTATCACAAATATATCCCAAATTTCTCCCAATTGGGTAAATCTCCTTTGGTGCCTTCAAATACCTTAGTTATTCTATGCTGAAAAAGTCTCCCCTCTCCTGAAGTCTTCTGGAGGGGTTGCTCTCTAGGACTGCTGCACAGCTCACATTTTGGGAACTCCCTTTACCATTATTCTGGAGACTCCTTTCACCCGTCTTGTGTTGAATGCCCTGTTTCCAGAATCCCATGTGTTTCTCTTTTTGGTCTGCTCTATTGTTTGGTGGAATACAGCCTCAGTAACTTCTCAAAGGGACAAATATTATATGGCTAAAATTTTCTCTGTAAACACTCATTTTAGGTTAATTGATTGACTGGGTACAGAGATCTAGGTTGGAAATCATGTTTATTCAGATTTCTAGAGACACTGCTGCATTGTCTTCTAGCTTCCAGTGATGCTATTGAGAATTTTCATGATTCCGATTCTCAATCCATTTTTTTTTTTTTTTTTTTTAATTTTTGGAAGCTTTAGGGATCTTTTGCTCTCCTAGTGTTTTCAGATTTCACAATTTTGTGTTTTCATTCATTGTATTGTACTCCTTCTCTGTAGAAACTCATGTCCTTTAGCTTCGGGCAATTTTCTTACATTATCTCTTTGATGAATTCCTCCCCTCCTTTGTTCTATGTTCTCTATTTCTAATCTGATATTTATTGAATGTTGGACCTCCTTGACTGATTTTATTTTCTTCCCCTAGTAATTCCTCTCTCTCTTTTTGCTCTATAATCTAGATTTTCTTCATTTTATACTCAACCCCTTTTACAGAATGTTTTATTGCTGTTGTCCTATTTTTAATTTCTAAGAGCTCCTTTTGTTCTCTAAATATTCTTTTTTTTAGAGTATCTTGTTCCTTTTTCCAAACTCATCATCATCTGTTACTTCTCTGGATATTAATGATAGTTTTCATCTCCTTTCATAATCTTTGTTTCTTCCTCATTGAATCTACTTGTTTCTGCTTTTCACATTACATGCTTTTCTCAAATATCTGTTGTACCATAGCTGTCTGCTCATACTTAACTCCAGGGCACTAAAAAGACAGTTGGAAGCTCTGTGCCTATGGTAGTCTACACTGTGCGGTTTTCTGGCTGGGTTATTTTGTTGAGGAACCTCTGCTATCAGTACCTATAGGTCTTTTCTCTTAGGTTGGTCAAATTCCTGAAAATAGAATCTGCTTGGAAGGTATACATCTGGCTGCAATTACAAGCTGTGGGTCTTATAATCAGGTGTATAAACTTTGTCTTACTATTCCTGTTTTCAGTGTGGTACTTCCTCCCTTAACTTGTGGCTAGTGGCTCCAGGCCAGACATTCCTACCCTCTCAGTGAATAAACTTTTTGAGTCTTCTGTCACAGAGAAAGAGCAGCTGCTCAGTTTTGGGGAGGGGGGCGAGGGGAAACTCAGGGGTCCACAGCTTCTTAAACAGACACTAATGAGTCCTCTTCTTCTTAGCCCCACCTTCCCTCACACTTGTAGAGGACTCTGAATCACTACTTCTTGAGTCTTTGGGGGCTGTTTCTTGGCTTTATCCAGTCAATTTAGGGTTTAGATTTTGGGGATCTATTAAATGTTATTACTTGTCTATTTGCTGCCCATTTACTTTCCTTTTTTTTGTTATCTCTTCTTCATATTTATTTTGTGGGTTTCTGTCTTTTTTAAATTACTTTAAATTTAAATCTCGTATCTGCCACTTGCTAGTTGTGTGAATTTAGGAAATTCAGTTAACCTTTTCCTGTCTGTTTCCATATCTGTAAGTGCTGAAGACAATAGTTCCTACCTCATAGGGTTGTTATGAAAATTAAGGGAGTTAATTTATGTAGAACTCTTGGAAAAGTGCCTGGATTATGGTAAGTGCTAACAAATGTTAGTGACTGCCATTATTACTTTGGGGAGGAAATGGGGGTAAACTGAGTTCATTCAATTCACCATGTTTACCAGTAGTCTACCCTCCTAGTGTGACTCTACAGGTCCCGTGTATCCTAACTGCCTGACCTACTCAAAAATTTTTCAGGAACACATCTATCATTTCTATTTTATTTCATGAAAGAATAATCTCCAACTGGAACAGTCAGAACAAACAGGTTTGGGAGGAATCTACATCTTCCCTAATTCTTTTAAATGAGTTCAGACATCCAGAACCATTTATTCATTTAACAAATCAAGGCACCGTGTTAAGAGCTAGAAATACCACACTAAAGGGCTTACAGTTGAGTGGGAATAGAAAAAACAAGTAAACACACGATTATAACAACACAGTGTGACAGGTGATATGAGAGGGTAGGAGTACCATCCTTGCTCAAAAAAGTTCTCCAGTGTTAAATGACCTTGACTAATAAGTGGCAGTTACCTAGTGTAATAGGGGTGGGGGTGAAGCAGTGGGCATTCCAGAGGGAGATGGAAGTGTGAAGGCACAGACACAAAAGAGAACAGGTGTGAATATGCAAATAGTTCAGTATGACTGAAGCACAGATGCGAATGAGATAAAAGACTGGAAGGATAGACTGGGCCTGATCACAAAAGGTTTTATAGTCCCTTCTAGGAGGTTTAGACTTTCTCCTGATGACAAAGGTGAGTGAGCTAGTGGGGGTTCTCAGCAGGAAGATTGAGATTTGCATTTCAGAAAGATAATTTGAGCTGTAATGCTCAGAATAGTTCTGAAAGATGGATTAACCAAACTTCTTTACATCAGACCACTCAGAACCTGTTAGCATGCATTGTGACTGTAAGAAATAATATTGTACACAGCATAAAGCACTTCCCAAACCTATCTGACCATAAGAACAGGAACTCCAGTTTGTTTGGTTTTTTTTTTTGGTTTTTTTTTGCAGACCATCTATTAATGTCTCTTAACACAGCAGGGTTTACAGATCAAAGTCTGGGAAATACTGTCCTACTGAGAACCTATGGAGAACACACTCAGAAAAAGCATAACAGGCACTCACTATTTGGTGCCTAACTAACAGCCACTCCCTTCTTCTTCTTGGTGGCATAACTTGACTTCATTTGAAGTGATCCTTTCCCCATCTCCATCGGTAAATTCTGACTGGTCCAAACTGGTCTTGGCAGTCCCACTGGTCTTGGCAGTCCCATTCCCCTTGGCAGTGGCTGCTGTAGGCATGCGCATGTGATGCAAATCTGGCCAATGAAAGGAAAAGGGAAATGTGCTGGAGGGATCCAGAGAAAGACTTATAGAGAGAGAGACATTGGCAGAGGAAGCTCTTCTTCTACTGGATGTGGCCACGTCTGCAAGCAATGACCATGAGGAGTGATAAGCAGAGTGAACATGACAGAGTAGAAAGATGGAAAGAACCTGGTTCATAAAGAAGGCTTTAAACCTCTGAATTAACTTTAGGGTTGCCCTACCTTGGATCTGCTTGTTATTTTCCTTACTGTATATGTCACATTAAGTTGGTATTTGGTTAATTGTAGCTCATGGTCTCATAACTGACACCGAAGTGATCTTCGAATAGAGTTGTCTGTCATAAGAGTAGTTACATATTCAATATAGTTTTCATGGTTAGAAATAGGACCAGTACGTGAAAGGAATAGGCAGGCAGATTTCTCAGCTAGTCTATAAGGAGGAATTACCCAAAATAGAATGGGATTGACTGTTGAGGTAGGCAGCTCCACAACATAGGAAACGTTTAGAAAGGGATAGATTGTGTCCAGAAATGTTCAGTCACAAAAATTTTACATGGCAAGGATAAAATAACAGAGTATCTTTGTGAGGTGAGTGATTAAACATCAAAACCTGTAAGGTCTAATCCTACTCTATGAATCTGTTTAAAATGAAGAACCCTTAACTCACAGAATGAAGCAAGCTTATAATTTTTAAATTGGAAGGAACGTTAGGGGCTTAATAAGGATTAATGAAAAAAGGCACTGAATTTTGCAGGATGTGACATAATTACGTAATAGTCTGTTGAAGGAAAAGAAAAGAAGTAAATTTAGAGAGGTCAGTTAACATCACAAGCTTGTCAGTGTCACAAATGGGAATTCAGGTCTGCTAACTCCTAGGTCAATGCTCAAGCCTAATTCTTCTGTAGAGATCTAGTTTATAATTACATTGTGAATATTCCTTCAGAAATAGAGAAATCCTAATTAGAGGTCAAAATTCAGTTACACCCCAACAGAAGCACAAATTGATTCTACTATTTAATGTTTAACAATGACATGCAAACGTTTTAATCAGTGATTCCATATTTACCTTTCATCTTCTTCAATTCCAAAGAAATTGTGTTAATATTTTTAATTATGGCTTCCACATTCAGCTTATGGTCAGAAACGTTATTCTTAAGCATCTGATTTTAAAAGAGAAACAAAAGCAGAAAGTATAAATCAGAAGTACTTACGTGTACTTTTAAAATACTTACAACTTTCAGTATTTCTGAGACGAAAATAAGTTTTTTGAGAACTGAAATAATAGTCTTCATAACATGGTTAGAATTCTAACATCAACTTGTTATGTAATATTTTTCCAACTGAAAATATCTCCACCTGGAATTCTCAGGATGAAGTTTCTACTTTAATCAAACTACATCCACAAGATGGGGCCCTTACAACAGAAATGCGGATGTACCCCTTTTCAGAAAGCATTAGCACTTATATAAACTACCTGACAACTTAGCAATCATATAAGATCTTCTCTAATTTTGTTTCTGTAAATCAGTATCTTTTTCCAACTCAACCCTAGGCTTATTCTTGAATGACAAGGTCCAAATACAATCTCATTAAGTACACAGTAAAACTCAAAAAAGGAATGGCAAAATAGTCATTTTTATTTTAGCTTTAGGGTTTTTGATTTTAATTTTGGTTAACTGAAATCTGAAAATCAACATTTTACGCCCGGTGGATTGAAACTGCTGACCCTTTGGTTAGCAGCCATAGCACTTAACCACTATACCACCTGGGCTTCCTAGGCTATATACCTAGTACATCTATATACATAGTACAGTTGTGTCAGATGCAAATAAAGAGAGGTGGTTCACTAGAAACTTACCTTAGCCATTCAAGTTTCTCAAAATGACTTGAAAACTAAAACACAATTAGCACATACAACTCTAGCATTGTGAAAGGTGGGCAGTTATGGGTGGGTCAGACTGCTTGTTTAATATAATGAAAATAAACTAACCTTTAAATCAATTCCTTGCCTCTGCCTTCAGAGCCAGATAATTTATTGTATTTCTCTCACTCACTTCAGTGCATACACTGTGTAAGAGTCACTGTAAAGGAAATAAAAATTTTGTTTTCCAGATGTTAATAAAATGCACTTTCCATCTACCTACAAGCCCCTAATACCCAGTTAAACCAGTTGTTGTGGATTCATGGCAACCCCATGTGTGTCAGAGTAGAATTGTGCTCTACAGGGTTTTCAATGGCTGATTTTTTGGAAGTAAATCGCCAGGCCTTTCTTCATGGCACTTCTGGTGGTCTTGAAACTCCAACCTTTCAGTTAGTAGCTGAGTCCTTTAACAGTTTGCACCACCCAGGGACTCTCACAAGCTCCTAGAGGTGCTAAATAGGGAGTGGCAACTATTTTGCTATGACAAACCAAAGATTCAGTTTTGAGAAAAACGGAAAGATGTTAAAAATAAAGGAGGGGGGGAATTAAATGACTTTAAAAAGAGGAATAACTATTTAAAAAGAGTGAAGGAGTTGGGTAGGAACTAAAGGAACAGAGAAATGCCCAAGAAATTAGACTCTCCCCCGCTCTGAGGTCTGGTGGGTAAGGTTCCTCAGAGGGTGGAGCTGTGTCTGGATTCCATTGGACTGAGAGAGGCCTGCCTGTGTCAAGCCATCCCCAAGGAGCTCCGTCAGGTCAGGCCGTTAGAGAAACAGAGAGGAGAGGCCCGTCAAACAGCACTTCACCAGGAGGTGAGAAGCGGAGAGCGGGTTTGGGAACAGAAAGAAGTATGGGGCTATCAAGACCGAAGGCGCTAATGCAACTAAAGGGCTAACCCCACTAGGCCCGACCAAGTACTCAAGCCACAGGAGCGATTATTATCACTGCCGTTTCCTTTCTAACGGTCAACCACTCCTTCTCCGGCCAACCAACCAACACCCGTGAGGAGCAGACCCTTGGGGGCTGTGGAGTGGGAGACGCACGGTCAATCTGCCCACCCGTCCACCCTCTCTTAGTGGCTGATGCCTAAGGCAGCCTGTACATCGCCAGAGTTCTGACCCTCCCAAACCTGATTAGGACCCTGGCCTGCGGATAACCACCGATCCTGTCAGGACCCACCCAGTCAACGGTCACCGAAGTCTGGACCGCCAGGGGAGGCGAGCGGTCGTTGAAAATGAGGCTGGGCTTCCTAATTGGCCAGCTTCTCCACCCAGTGCATCCTGGGAGTTGTAGTGCCAGGCAAAGCCCCTACGGAGAAGATTCTGGATGCAAGTGACTCCAACTGCTGCGTCTGCAGAGGGGGAGGTGGGAAAGACGCTGACATTTCACACCTCCTATGCCCCAGGCACTGCGCTGGGTGCTTTACAGCCCTTATCTGCATTTAATTTTCATGGTATAGTGATGTAGTTAAGACAAGACTCTACTGAAATCGCCTGGGTATGAAGCCTATGCCAGCACTTGTTTAGCTGTATAGATGCAGGTTGGTGATTTAATGATTCAGATTCCAGTAAAATGGACTCATCTATAAAATGGATTTGATAATAACTGCCTTTTAGTGTTATTGTGAGGATTAAGCCAAATAATGCACGGAAGGTGCTCGGCACGGACTGAATTGCTGGGTGGAGGGCTGTGGGGACCATGGTCTCGGGGAACATCTAGTTCAATTGGCATAACACAGTTTATAAAGAAAATGTTCTACATTCTACTTTGGTGAAGTAGAGTCTCGGGTCTTAAAAGCCTGTGAGCAGCCATCTAAGATACTCCACTGCTCTCACCCCTTTGAGAGCAAGGGAGAATGAAGAAAACAAGATACAAGGGAAAGATTAGTACAAAGGACTAATGGACCACAACTACCATGGCCTCCACCACACTGAGTCCAGTACAACTAGATGGTGCCTGGCAACCGCCACTGACTGCTCTGACCAGGATCACAACAGAGGGTCCCGGACAGAGCTGGAGAAAAATGTAGAACAAAATTCTAGCTCACAAAAACAGACCAGATTTACTGGCCTGACAGAGACTGGAGAACCCCAAGAGTATGGCCCCCAGACACCCTTTTAGCACAGTAATGAAGTCACTCCTGAGGTTCACCGTTCAGCCAAAGATTAGACAGCCCCATGAAACAAAACGAGACTAATGGGGCACAACAGTCCAGCAATAAGGACTAGAAGGCAGGAGGGACAGGAAACCTGGTAATAGGGAACCCAAGGTAGAGAAGGGAAAGTGTTAACATGTCATGGGGTTGTTAACCATTGTCATAAAACAATATGTGTACTAAC